TTGAATTAAGAGAATGCAGCTGTATATCTATCCTAACTATTTTGAATATACAGATACAAAATGGTGGCTCATTTGTATCCCCGTTTTTATTTAGCTTTGTCAGAGGAGGGTATTCCATTGTCACTTAAATATTGTAGGTATGTGAATTCAGCAAAATATTCCAATATAGTCCAGTAATCAATAATAGTAGTGAGTTATCCATAGGACTGGCAATGTCAGAAGTTGTTGACTTGAGCCTTTTACAGCTCAGTATATTAATATGACTTTACTTTTTATACTTCATTTTTATACTTTTCTGCTAGGTGGTTAAGACCAAGATAAAGCAAGGCCTATATAACAAATAATGTAACTTTTGTATCTGATAAGGTCAGTGAAATCCCCTCAGGATTTATCCTGAGATCCTGTACCTCAGATTGTAGAACCTTTGTCAGTGTAAGCCATGTGGATGAGTCCCGGCCATTGCTTGGCCAATTTGCTCTCTGTGAAATCCTGAGAGAGTGTTTTCTCTCCATGTGACTCTCCTTAGGCACACTCTACATCATCAATCACTTTCCTCTTGGCTGCATAATCTCCTTGATCAGAAAATTTGGGACACAACTAAGTTACATGTTAGAGTACAGGTTTGCCTATGCCCTGAGTCTTCACTGGCCTTGAAAGGCTAGGGCCAAAATGTTGGCTGTCCTTTCAGCCCTGCTTTTCCTCTAATTTTGGTCTGCAAACTTAGGTTGTTAACCCTCCAGAAGAGAAGCTTATTTTTATTACACTACAACATAGGCAGTTGGGCTTTTGCATGCTTACTTTAAATATGTACACGTGAGTGGGATAACTGGGTCGCATGTTAGTGCTATTTTCAGGGTCTTGAGGACTCTCCATAGCATTTTCCATCATTGTTTACTAATATACATTCCAATCAATCATGTATACACATTCTTTTTTCTCCTCAACCTCACCAGAATTTGTTGTTTTTGTTTTGTTTCCATAACCAGAATTTAAGTTGATAGAAATGGAAAATGGTAAAGAGTTTCCTAATAGAGATTGTTAATGATAGAAAATATACAAGTGATATTTCATATTGTATGCCTCAATAAGTATTTGAGGTAAATGAGATATACACATTTCCTGTCTCCAAATCAGTGTTGAAGAACTTTCTTTTTCCAATAGGATAAAGAATCATTTATTATTGTTGTTGTTGTTTGTGGTACCAGGGACTGAACTCAGGACCCTGTGCTTGCCAGGCAGGCGCTTCCTCTACTGAGCTATCTCCCAAGCCCTAGGATAGAAGAATTATTAGCCAGTGATTTTACAACCTTTCCTTATAGTCATACTTCAATTCATCCTGCCTCTGAGCCATCATAGATTGTGCTAAATAAAGATGCCTGCCCTGGCCCAGCTCCAGTCAGGCTCCTCTGGGTTAGCACTTCATCTCGACCCGCTACCCAAGTTTTAGGAAAGCAGTCTAATAAGGATGTGTGCCCACAGCCTCCCCACCATTGCATTTCCTTTTTCTTCTTCCCACAATTTTTATGTCTAAATTGGCAATCTATGTTTAGCATGAATTATTTGGGCTCATTTTAAAGAAGCTTCCTCCCCTGTGTGTGTTCTTTGATAATTTTCTGTGCACTGATCTCCTCTTCTCCTTGGATATAAGTCTAAATGCCTCCGTGCACTCCAAAGCGAGCTCCTTTATGCTATCCTTGACGCAGCAGTCTGGAGTACCGCTTCACTACCAGTTTAAGAAGCATCAATGTACTATTTCCTTTGCAGTATGGTGTCTTTAGCTCCACAGGGATGAGATATGAAAAGACTCAAGCCTGAAAGTCAGGCGTGTCACCTGGGACTCGTCCTCTACATCTGGAAATTGTGTTGCCACCCCGGTTGACTGGCGGTCAGCTGGTGAGTCACTACTGCCCCGATCTGGTGTTCTAGATGAGTCTCCTAAAACACAGCAAAGGTGGTTTTTTTATTTTTAAGTCTCTGACTACACTCAAGGAAACTTTAAAAATCTCATATTCTTTTTGCGTATGTGGTACTATTAGTTAAAAACATAGGAAATGTCCCTATTGAGTGCATCTTCCGCCATTATGGCACCAGTTCCAGCTTATCTTTCCTTTTTCTCTTTCACTTTCTTACTAATGATTTTCACACAGACAGCAAGGGAGTCACTGATGTTTGACATAATAAATCTTAATTATTGCAGTAGCCCAGATAAAACATCATGAGGGCCCCAACAGAGGTGGCAGCAATGCAAATGGTCACATTCTAAAGCCACAGTGTTTTGCAAGGAGAGCTGACACAGTCCCCAATCAGCTGGATGCAGAATGTAAGAAGACTGAAGAATCAGCGATTGCTCCGTAGCTTTGCACCGGGTCATTAGAAACATGGTGCAATGACTTAGCAAAATCTTACTTGTTGAGAAGATCAAGAGTTCAAATTTGAACACGTTACTTGTGATATGTAGGATTGTCATAAGAGGAGATGCTGATTGTACAGCTCAGTATATGAGTTTGATGCTCAAATGAGCTGTTAGCTGCAGATGCCAACCTGAAGGTCAGCAGGACTTAACTGTTATTTGGGCAAAGACACCATCTGAAATCCCTAAGAGCGTGAGTATGAAGAGGAGGAGCAAAGAGGATCCAGGGTTTGGGGCTGGGAAGAGAAGAAACTGACCAAGGACACTGAGAAGGGCGGGGAGTGAAGCTCCGTGTTCTTTACTGTTAGCTCGGTTCTGCAAAGACAGTTGAGAACATCCCCCAGGGGCCCGGCGTCTCCTCACACGTCTCGGCTAGGACCTGTGCAGCCTCGCCTCTCCTTTCCTCCCCTCGCCTCTCCCGGGCCCGCCTTCACTTTGCTTGGCAGCACTGCCGTGTCTCCCCCTAAGACGCCACTTCCCCGACCACTCTCTGGCCGGACAGAACTTTCCCTCCCAAGTCAGCCACTCAGATCCTCACAACGCGCCCACACAAGTGAAACTATTTAAAAATTCTCCACATGCCACTGCAGCCTATCATGCCTGTGTACCTTTATAGCTAATTACTGGGTTATATGCTTAAATACTCCGTATATTTTCACTTTTTGAAAAGCACACCGATATTTCATGCTCTACAGACTACTCTTTAGAGTGTTTAGTTGATGTTACCGCGTTTCTTAAATTGTTGTTTAATTCAGTGAGAAATCACCATGTGCCCTCTTGGGATGCCGGGCGTAGGTGTGCCAACTAGTGCACTCAGTTCAGATAATCTGAGGGGTAGCTAGACGTCTTCTACCTCCTTCAGTCTCATGTCACTTTGGGCAAACAGGTGCATTAAATATCGTCTTCCCAAAGAAAGATTGCTCTGGATATATAACATTTATGAATGAGTTAAAACTTTCATAATTTTCATCAAGAAATAATCTTGTAGCATTTAAATTGTGCTGTTTCCCTTACTTTTCATACTTGACTTACCATAATACAGGCAATAACGGGGCCTCAGAGGAACCTCTGTCATTGCTGACATGTCCTGGGAAGCGGATCTTTGACTTTTCAAATAAATCAAACCTTAGCTGTTTAAAGCACAAGAAAGCAAAGAGACGGAGACACAGTCTGTTTCATTTTGCTTTACAAAAATTTCTCATCATGAAATGGTACATGGTAAAAACGGGGAATTTTCAAAACTGTAAAGTACACACACGCACATGCACACGCACACCTGTTTATTGCATCTGACCCTCCCCTCTCTAATTATGCACCTTGAAGGTGCAGTGTGAGGTGGGGCTTTCTAACGTGCTGTTTGCAAATGTTGCCAGAATTTGCTCTTATTTCCTTTTGCTGAATTGCAGAGGGAGCGGAGGCAAGAGATGAACTAGCGTAGGGCAGCATGCTGGCGTCCGGCCTTCCTTTCTGCACCCTTTCCCTTCAATCCATCCCTCTTTCGCAGAGCCACGCAGAGACCCTAACTTTCGGTCTGCTCAGGGCTCCTGTCCGGCCACGCAGGGCACTCAGCGGCGGGGAGCCTCCTGGGCCGTATTACTTACTGTCCCTGCTGGACTCCTATTCACTTCCCCTGTGAGCCTCTCTGCCTCAGGAGGAGGGAGGAACACGGCTGCACTTGCTTAACCAACATCCGTTCTAATTTAGCATTTGTACTGCATTTTTCGTTTTTCAATGAAAACATTTTCTTTATTTAAACTCCTTTAGTGGTGACTCCAATGAAATCTCTCATCTTGTTCTCTCATAACTTTTTCTTTGACTTTGACTTATTTTGTCTTTTTTTTTTTTTTTTTTTTTGGTATTTTAGCACAGGGGCTACAGGGTTTATGGGGTCTCACTCTGTAGACCGGACTTGTAGTGATCCTCCTGTTTCCAGCCTCCCAAGCGCTGGGATTACAGGTACATACCACCATGCGCAGTCTCAATCATCCTCTCAGGGTGGCCCGGGGGTGGGACTGGCACAGCAGGTCCTGGTATTGAACTTTGGGCATTTTAATCCACTGAGCTATTTGACCAGCCCTATTTTGTCTTATCTTAAAAACAGACTTGTTTTTATTAATTAATGCTAGACATAGCACAAAAACTATGAAAGCCTGCAATAGTTGCAATGGTATGTTCACTAAAATGAGCAATTTCTACTTAGAAGTAGACACACACACACACACACATATATATAATTTGTTTTATGTGTAAGTGTAATACATACACACACACTCATACGCATAAATATGTATTTGTTATACATCTTCATTTTTAGGGATATGTTTCTTTGTTCCATTTTATTCCAAGATTGTAATTCCTAATTCGCATTCTGCATGTGTTCTAGTCTCAACAAAACCCTCTTCTCTGCCTCACCTACCGACCATCAGGGCTGGCACTGCAAAATGTAACTCCCAAGCACTAGTGAGCTGCTGCACTTAATCTTTGGCCCTTCCCTTTTCTGGGCACCATTTCTAGTCGGTTATGAAGCCCTGTGCTGTGTTTAATAGGTGAGTCACACGTGGCTCTTAAGACCGTTTTACCAAGTCCCCTCATCGCTTCTTGGCTCGGCTAAGAGCACATGTAGTGTCCGTTCTTATCAGTTTAATATCTGATGCGTCCTCTATCCAAATGCCCTCTTCACAAGGCTGAAGTCCTGGCTGCTTTCATCAACTTCATCATCTTGCCTTCTTCATGTGGATTTTGCTCTTCAAGTCACAGAGAAATTGGATGTAACTTTACATTTTTGAACGTGCTTGCTGCTACACATGATATTTTAGGGCTTGCAGCTCCTTTTGTAGTTTTTATTTTTACTATTTATGTTTGCAAATGATGCCAAATTTTTACCTTTCTTTAATCAATATGTTCTCTTCAATGACATATATTGTATTATATATTGATGCGTGTATCGACATACGCTGAGGGGTATCACACTTACACGTACAAACACATAAACAAGAGGGGGTGAAAACTGTAGCTTTCCCATTCTCTGTAGCCTCTGCAGAGAGATCCTGAACAGCAAAGTCTTGGTGTGTGATGTACGAAATGGAGAAGAGTACTAAGACATATTTAAGAATAAAAGAAATGAATTTTGAGTTGGAGCATTCCTCTGTGTCTCTAGCTTAAATATTTTATGCACTTAGAGCCTATTCCAGCTACTGTGGTGTGGTTTCATGTGTGGTAAGAATGTGGTTCCTGTGGTTTCCTACAGAGACTGGGCTGTTCCAGCACAGGCTGCTTCACCATGAACAGGAAAGAAAACAATTTAAGCTAAAGTTAATTTTAAAGTTTTAGAATTGTTGGTTGATTTGACCCTTTGTATTATGAAATGCCTCTTTGACTGCGCTTATGCCTTTTCTGAAAGTGATTTTGTCAGATTATTTTCTTGCAAAATTATAAGAGAAGATCCATGTACTTTACCCCTCCGAAGCTTTTTATTTTATTTATTTATTTATTTTTTTTTTGCTAGCTCAGCCTGTCTTAAGGGCTGGTCTGGTGTGGCATGTGGAGCTGGGTATCAAACCGTTGTCCTCTGCACCTGACTGAGATTGTCCAAGCAAGCACTTTAAATAACTGAGCTAACCAGCAAGGCCCCACCTTACCCCTCTGATGCCATCCCAGTCCTAGCCTTGCAGGGCCCATGTGGGAGGCAGGAAGAGAGATCAGCCCAGTCCACCTATGCGCAGGCCTGACTCTGGGTCTCTTGTGACCCCTGAGGGAGGCAAAAGGTGAGAGAACCTGTGCACACCATGTGTGCCAACTCTGCCAGCAGCCCCCAGACTCCCGCCCAGACCTGAGAGATGGGTGGGTGGAGAGAGAATCTGCTGTCGCCACCAGCCCAAGCCTTGCACAACCTATGCAGGAGGCAGGAAGAGAACCACCAAACTACCAAATCTTAGCAAGCTCTGTCCTGAGTTCTCCACAACACAGTGCAGCTAAAGATGACAACCGAGAGACTGACCAATGCAAGAAGGGGCCAGCTTCAAGAGGAGGGATTCTCTCCAAGACTGAAACGTCACCCTACCAAGAGACCAGGTGGGAGAGTTTTGCGATGTAGGCTTGGAGAGTGGCAGAAGTAAGCAGGGATGTCTGGGAGGCTTGTGCTGCGGCTGGGAGGATCACAGGACCTTTGCTCTCTGGTAGGAGCTCACGTTTGATGGATATAACCATCAGAAGTGATGACTGTGAAGGAGATGGCCTTTAGGTCAGAGATATTTTTAAGCTACTGGACACAGTGTACATCCGGCAGAAATTAGTGGTCAATGTTTCTGTAGGACAATATCCAGGTGCTCTCAGTGTCTTCACTGACATCACAGATCTCTTTGTTCTGGTCAAGGGTGGTTCATGAGTGGCACTTAGGGTTCATCCATGTCCATCTGGTATTGACATCGTTGTGGCTGACTTCACTGATAGAGTTAAGGTGACAGGTGCTGTGGTCAGCTGTTTTTCTTTGCAAGCCTTCACACTGCTACCTCAGACCATGAACTTAATTATTACCACAATTCTGATTGCAAACTGAATTTAACGAGAACAGGATCAGATTCAATGGTTAGGTTCAATGTTGACCTCATGGGGAAATTTGATTCAGTTCTTGAACATACTATGGAAAGAATTAAGTTGGCAAACTGAGGCATCCCAGCCTCTGGACACCTATACCTCACATCCACAGAGCCAGAAATTTGACCAAAGAAACCTCAAATCTCAACACATACACACACACACACACACACACACACACACACACACACACACACAAATAAAACAAATAAAAAATAGACATGAAAATACAAGGCTACAAATGACTATAAAAACTCACAGCAGAAACCCCACAGCAACAGTAGCTATACTATTTTTAGACAAAGCATATTTCAACTCAAAGCTTATCAAAAGAATCAAGAAGGACTTTATGTATTGGTTAAAGGAAGTATTAACAAGGCAGAGATAACAGATGCACAGCAGAAAAGACTAAAATGGCACCAGGTGTGGCAGCACACTCCTGCAAGTCCAGGATTCGGATGACCGAGGCAGGATGATGGCCCTGAGTTTGAAGCCAGCCTGGGCCACAAAGTGAGCTCAAGGATAACCTGAACTTCATGGTGAAACCCTGTCTTAAAAATACAGGAGAAAAAAGACTGAAAATGGATCAATGGAGGTAAACATTTCAATAAGTAGCTTGCTGAATTTAAATCCAGAGGGCATAGCAAATATTTTTTGTCATGAAGCTCATAAACATGGGTGTGCAGAACCCACATTTAGTCTTTAAAGTATCTCAATTAATTATTAATTTTATTTTTGAGTTTCATTATGTTGAAATTAATTCTTACTGAAAAAAATATCACAAAATGCAGTATCTCATTTTTAGTATTTAATGAGTTAATAAAACAAGCATCAAAATTCTCAACATGATCTGATTTTCATGTACAAAGTCTAAAAAAAGAAAAATACAAATAAATCTCTATATGAAATACAATGAAAATACCAATTGCACTTTTCAAAAAAGGTTTTGCTTGAGTTATAACACCCAAGGCAGTCTTCACTCATGACGACAGCATGCTCCATACACTGGTGTCACTCACTCTAACTGCGTATGTGATTAGCTTTCCTTTCCACTGTGCAAGCCTTTCTTGTTCCCTCTGTTCTCTTTCTGCTTTGTCAGGAGCTTCCTACTATGCACTATGATGTTCACTTGTTAGGGTAATAAGATCTAAGTAAAATAAAATATCAAGTGTACAAAGTTGTTTAGAGTAAACAACAATATTTTCACATCAGCTGTTTACTGGCTTACAAATCTAAGTGATAACATCAGAAATAACAAAAACCTATGTGAACTGTAATAAAATATAAATAGAATTCTACAAAAAAATCTTTGCTCCAATTGTCATACTTCAGTCTTCACAGATGAAAATTACACGTTCCATCTGTAAGAATCACTTACACTAATAGCACTTATTCTTTGGTTTTCTGCCCTTTGCTGTAGGGCACTGTAACATCTTTTCAATTTTCCTGCTGATGTGGTAGGTCCTTGGGATGCTGCACCTGTCTTGTCATCTGTCAGCTCACCAGTGTGGTCCACATACATTTTGCAAAGTTCCCCAGGGAGAACTTTTGGTTTTGTTTTTCTTCTATTACAAATGACCTCTTATGAATTCCAGTTTCAATCTTCTGAGAAAATTTCTCCATGGTATCTTGCCCCTTTTTAAATAAACTATCAAACCACCTATGCCACACATGTTTAAGACTGAGAGGAGCGCAAGCACTGCCCAATCCTTTGTGCTTCAAGCAAATATGACTTCCTATTTGCTGCCTAGCTGATAGCAACATCTACTGTGTCTTTTGTTTGGTCATAGAAAGTTTTCATCTCAATCTTCTTTTTATTTATTTACTTATTTATTTATTTTTGTGGTACTAGCTATTGAACTCAGGATGTTTTACTTGCCAGGCAAGTGCTTATCCTACTGACCTCCCTGGTCCCTTCCATCTTCTATTTTTTTCAAGGATTCCCTATCAGTTCTTCCATCATGGTGCAATGTTGACATCAGCAGTACCAGTTTTTTTCTTTTTGACATTACAAGGGCCAATATATATCTTTCTGAAACACTAAGATTGTGCTATATAATTCTTTGTCTTGAAATTTCAACATTTCATTTGTAATTTTGCTATGTTCTTGTAGATAGTTCATACTTGTTCTGCATTAGCAAGTATAACATAAGTTAGAAACATAAACCAACTGTTGAATGTCATATTTTGATTAGTTTGGGAGATGGAGGTGACTCTGTTTACAGTATCATTTGGTTTATTACTGCATGAATAAGGACCTGGTGGCTGAATTTCAAAATAAAATTTGAGCTTGAAAACATAATAAATCTTCACATCTATGAGGGTACAAATTTTTATGCCAAATTTTGAGTTGCTCACCGTGTGGCCCTTATGGGAGGAATTTGGTGGCTTTGTTCTGAGAGGAAGGGCTGGGGCCTGTGGCTGAGCCCACTGAGCTGAGGCATGCTAGTGGGCCTAGTGGGGCTCAGACTGAATCTCAGACATACAGGAAAATCCTTATGGCAAAGAGGCAGCAGGAGGTAACTTAGATGAAAGTGTCTACCAGAAAGACTCCAGGACAGAAAACAGAGGACAGAGCCAAGTGGAAACAAATACCATACTCTCAACAGAAGAGGAAAAACTTGAGACACAACAAAACAAGAATATCTGACCCAGAAGAGACACCTAAAGAACAGACTCTTTACACAGAGTTTCTGATTCCAGTGGTACAGCTAAGTACAATCAAACTAACAACAAAGTAGCACGTAAATCAAAATAAAGAGTTTTCTCTGAGATAGAAACTGACAAAACAAAGGAGGAAAAGGCAATATCAGGCTCCCAGCCCACCCAGAACAAATCCGGAAGACTCTAACAAGGAAGAAATTGGAAATCACACACCTGAAGTCTCTAAATAATAGCAACTAAAGTAAAGAAACAACTGCAGAAGGGTACAGATGAAATTATATCAGAAATAATCTCTCAGGCACACACACAAATGATAACCGTAATGAAATAATTATTAAGTGTTTCTAAAGAAGGTACTCATAAAAAATAGAGAATGCAAAAATGATGGAAATCTTGAAAAACAAATATAGAAAGAAATAGAATACATGAAGCAGATTCAAAGAGACATACAAGAAATTAAAAACTCATTAAAAGTTGTCAAAATCATTTGAATGAAAATGAGGTTAGAATTTCAGACCTC